GGAAGGGGGAGCTGCCAATTTATTTATACTTGTTCTACACTTTATTACCATAAAGCTTCCCGTTGCCCGTAAAGCTGCAACAACACTAGGAGAGGCACAGCAAGCTTTCCCCTAAACTTCTCAGTCCAGACACAGTCAGGCTGTTGCAATGAAAGGCCCTTTTCTCCAGAACATAGAGCTTTGATGGCAACAGCACAGAAGATTTGTGCAAAGGTGGAATATAATCACCAGAATTTACATGGAAGATACTCCATGCTCTGGAGATAGAGGTGCTAAATTAAGGTGCACAAAGCTGGTATTTTTCAATGGAAACTGGAAATTCTAAGTGTGAATTCAGATCTGTGCTTTCACATCGGAATCAGGTTCAGAAAAACAGAAGTGAGGGGCCCTCTCACTTACCTACTGCACTTTGATCAGTGATTTTTAATACTAATTTCCGTAGAAAAATTCAAGTAATAAAATGGCATGCAAGGTTTTCATAGAATCACAGAATGCCAGGTTGGAAGGGACCTCAAGGATCATCTGGTCCAACCTTTCTTGGCAAAAGCAGGCTCTAGAGAAGATGGCCCAGCACCCTGTCTAGCCAAATCTTTAAAGTGTCCCATGTTGGGGAATCCACCACTTCCCTGGGGAGATTATTCCAATGGCTGATTGTTCTCATTGTGAAAAATTTTTCTCTTGTGTCCAACTGGCATCTCCCCAGGAGTAACTTGTACCCGTTACCCCTTGTCTTTTCCATGTGACTCCAATTCCTGCCTTTTTCCCTAGTGAGGATATTTAAAATAGGAATCCCAGATACAGCTACTTTGCTGGTCATGAGGCCATCAAACCGATAACTATGCTGCCAACAACTGAATGAAACCCTGGACTGATCAGCACCAGATTAGTATGCTGCTCCTCCATGACAAGAGCAAGCAAGTACACAGCTGTAATTCTTACCATGGGGCATAGAACTCCACGAGCCACAGGCTCTCACTCTGAATGACCTCCTTGTTGAAGTTAGTTGGTGTTAGCTCTATCACATCATCACTGGCCGAATATAAACCATTAACTGCCAGGAATAACGTGCAGCTCACTGTGCCTAGAACAAAAAGCAAAGCAATCAGCATTCCTACAGAACACTTACGATTCTCCTGTTGCCATGGCTAAATCATCTCTCCACCCCCTGCAAATCAGCAGGTAAAAGGGAAAGGGATTTCAGTTTGACAAGGAAAAAAAAAAAAGGAAGTTAAAGCAAGATATATGCTTTCCCTCCTCACTTAAATCATGATTCCACAGGATCATGTAATATATTCTCTGTGCCTAAAGCTAGCTGGAGTTATGCCACTCCTGCTATCGCTCTCCAGAGAGCATTTTGTCAAAGCTGCTACCCTAACTACTACTGGTATAAGACCAGCAGACTTTCCACGCAGATCCCCACGATCAGCTACATGTTATTTCAGTTCTTTCTCACAGAAACTCCTAAGCCAATTGCCCACACCTCTTGCACAGCAGGCACTGAAACACATCTTTCATAGGATCACGTAATGCAGGACTGTCCCAACGAGTCTTAGTACAGTTACGCCGATATTAGGACCAGCACTTGATGCACTGGGAGCGTAAGGAGCTCCTTTATTCTTGCTCATGAGGATCTTAGTCTACCATTGATTTGTTCCTCTAGCAACAGACTGGAGAACAACAGCTAAATCTCTCTGGTTAACAACTCAAGCACTCTTAGAACGAAAAAAAAAAAATCATTAAAAGGTACAAGGAAATTGCTTTCTCTTAAGAAAGACTGCATACTTCTTGGTCACTTCTAGATCTTATTATTGCTTGAGACTTTGCATGTAAAACCTCGTACTCCTTCCTTCTACCTCGTCAGAGAGACTGAGAGACAACTCGATGAAAGATGACAAGCATCTCTAACAAAATCCACATAGCAAAAGACTTTTTTTCTTAATCCACTAAAGACTGGAGGGAGTAAGAGCTCAGACACCGAAGTTAGAACTAGGCAAAAAATAGTTAGCTTTGCTGTGAGTGGTTAATAACTTGAATAGGAAGCTGCACATTCTCTCTCAAGACTGAACATGAGAGGAAGATACAGTTCAGCGATGCAGAAACTGTACAGCACGTGGTACGCAGACTGCACAGCATCACCTATGCTTTATCAGTCCCGCTCAAGAAAAGCCAGTTTCATTACACCTATTCTGCAGGTGAGAGAAGCTGAAAGAAAGAACATCTTCCAGCTTACTCAACCAGAGATCAGGGCTGAACTGCCACACTGCAACCCAGTGCCCCATCCATCGCACCACTCCTCCTCCTAACGGCTTCTTCTAGCCCTAGGACCCAAGCGCTTTCCGTTGGGGTGATCCAAGCTGGTTTCCACCACCAGATTTACACATGAGATCGGCTCTCTCCTTTCAGTATGCCCACACACAAGCAACGCTTCATCAGCACTGATGAACTGACTTCCAAGGCAATCTGTGGCTGTCACAGCATGTTACGGTGACCTACAACACCAGCTGCTGCTGGGGCAGAGTAAGAAAACAAGGATGCAAAAAGCTACTGGAATGATACAGCCACTCTTAAGAGAGAAACACTTCTTTAGATGGAATGAGACCATTAATTTGAAATCAGCATATTTGGCATCACCTAAATCTATCTGTGGCAGAATATATTCAGAAGCTGAACAGACTTCACTCAGCCGTTTCTGTCACTTCAAATAGAGAAGTCCTGGCTTATGCAAAAACACCTGCTAAAGAGAACTAACAAAAGTGAGCACATGGTAAAACTCACTACCGCTGCATTTTTTTTTTAAACTATGACTCATGAACTGGTGGCACAATTTTCTTTTCTACAGTGAAATATTCAAGGTTTAATTCATCTTTAGCAAATAAAAAAAAAATCATTTTCTTACAAGCATTTAAGCCACGAAAATGCAAATCTGTCCTTGATATTAAGGCAAGAAAAAAAAATCTCAGATAATCTGATTTCAAAAGTTGTCTTCTAATGTAAGCAAATTACATAGGCAGGAGCGATGTTGAACCAACTAAGGCAGCTCCATGCTGGCATTACTAGTCCTCATGGAAAAACCCAGCTGTAACTCTGCAGAGCTGTGAAGAAAAGCTTTTGCTACGGGATAACGATGATGAACTCCCTCCTCAGAACACCCGCACCTCCTGCAGCGGAGCTCGGTGCGCCGAGGACCGCAGGCCCCTGCCCGCCCGCACTCGGTGACCGAGAGCCCGCCCCGTCGGGCTCCCCGCAGGGCCGCGAGGCAGGAGCGGAGCAGCCGCAGGGAGCTGCTCGCCGCAGGAGACCCAGCAGCGGCGGGGGGCAGAGGAAGCACCGCTCCCCACGGACTCCTCCTTTTGTCTTCAGCCCCTGCTTCCTCACCGCCCCTGCAGCGCCGGGTCCCAGGTCAGGGCCGCCGGGCAAGCAAAGCATCACCGCTTACTGGAAACCAAGGAGGTTTGCTTTAATGAGGGCGAGAGACAAGCACCATTTTCTTTAATTTTTTTTCGTTGCTGGGACCTTTAGGCCGCCCCCCTGCGCTCCGGGAACCCACCCAGCAACGGGGGCGCGCCCCCGGCCGTCCCCCCCCCCCGGCCCGGGCCGGCGGACGGCCGGGGGC